TCATTTTGAAGGTACATGTGTTGAGATCATGTGGAGCGATTTTGAGGCGAATCGGTGAAACGGCCGAGGAGGAGTCGCTTTCCAACCGACATGTATGAAAACTTTTGCTGTTCATTTTTCCATTTTGCAGTGAAATTTATGGGCTTCCTGTTTGTCAGAGGGCAGAGCCATAATAATATTTTTTTCATGTCTTGACTTGAGGAACATGTGTACCAAATTTCATGGCTTTACGACAAACTTGATCTCCAAAACTCCCATAGGGGTATTATTTTGGCTGTTGTAGGTGGCGCTGTTCAGTCATTTTTTGAGTCCCATAAAAATAAACACCAAAATATCAAATTTTTCGCCAGGTCTGATTTTTGGGCAAAATTTAACAACTTTTCATGCATGTTCAGGGGGTCAAATTAAGGCTCAAAGTGCAGAAGAAAAAAGAAAGAAAGAAATAAATAAAAAAGGAATTTTTTTTTTAACGTCTCGAGCAAAAACAATATAGGTTTCAATGGCACGTGATACATCATTTTAAAGCGTTTGAGTTTACGCACGCAACCGTCACGTTTTGGTGAGTGACGGGCGCTGACGCGTCCGTCACGCACCGCCACCATTTGTTTTCACCATTGTGAAAGCAATAGGCCCTTACCCCGTTCGGGGCTCGGGCCTAATAAATAAATAAATAAATAAAAAAGGAATTTTTTGTTCAACGTCTCGAGCAAAAACAATATAGGTTTCAATGGCACCTGATACATCATTTTAAAGCTTTTGAGTTTACACACGCAACCGTCACGTTTTGGTGAGTGACGGGCGCTGACGCGTCCGTCACGCACCGCCACCATTTGTTTTCACCATTGTGAAAGCAATAGGCCCTTACCCCGTTCGGGGCTCGGGCCTAAAAAAGGAATTTTTTTTTTAACGTCTCGAGCAAAAACAATATAGGTTTCAATGGCATGTGATACATCATTTTAAAGCGTTTGAGTTTACGCACGCAACCGTCATATTTTGGTGAGTGACGGGTGCTGACGCGTCCGTCACGCACCGCCACCATTTGTTTTCACCATTGTGAAAGCAATAGGCCCTTACCCCGTTCGGGGCTCGGGCCTAATAAAAAAGGAATTTTTTTTTTAACGTCTCGAGCAAAAACAATATAGGTTTCAATGGCATGTGATACATCATTTTAAAGCTTTTGAGTTTACGCACGCAACTGTCACATTTTGGTGAGTGACGGGCGCTGACGCGTCCGTCACGCACCGCCACCATTTGTTTTCACCATTGTGAAAGCAATAGGCCCTTACCCCGTTCGGGGCTCGGGCCTAATAAAATTCCTTTAAAATAGTTGTTTGGTTTCTATTGACTGTTTTGTATTACTTAAAGTCTTGGTAAAAAAAGATTATGTCTATGGGTCCCATTCTGAACGGCCCTGTCAAAGGGACCCACCAGGTAACAAAAACGTGTATGTGTGTGTGTGTGTGTGTGTGTGTGTGTGTGTGTGTGTGTGTGTGTGTCTGTCTGTGTGTCTGTGTGTGTGCATGTGCGTGTGCGTGTGCGTCTGTGTCTGTGTCTGTGTGTGTGTCTCTGTCTGTGTGTCTGTGTGTGTGTGTGTGTGTATGTGTGTATGTGTGTATGTGTGTCTGTGTCTGTGTGTGTGTGTGTGTGTGTGTGTGTGTGTGTCTGTGTATATGTGTGTGTGTGTGTGTGTGTGTGTGTGTGTGTGTGTGTGTGTGTGTCTGTGTATATGTGTGTGTGTGTGTGTGTGAATATGTGTGTGTGTCTGTGTGTGTCTGCTCCTGTGGGAGTCTTGGTCCTGCATTTGACCCGGAGTTTACTGTCTCTGTGGATCGACTGAAGCAGAGAGACAGAAATCAAGGCTCAGGTGTGAAAGAAAATCTATAACAAACTGGAATCTTTTCTGTGCATTTGTTTGAGCGTTTTAAATCGTGAAACATCGTGAAACATCGTGAAACATCGTGAAACATCGTGAAACATCGTGAAACATCGTCAATAGACAGAGCACAGACTTAGTGGCATTGAGGTAATTACAGATTCTTTTGATTGATTGAATAGCTTATTAGAGATCACTAAAGATGGGATTTTTGTACATTTTCTTGTCAATCATCGTCCCTTACATGCTACATTTACAAAACTGGGAACAAAAAACAATCTACACCAAGTTTGTTGTCTTGTTTAAGTCTGACCTGAGTCTTAGCTAACCATATGCTGACTGAAAGAGGGCTGTTTTGAGCCTGGCCTTGAATACAGAGACCGTGTCTGCTTCCATAGGAGCTTGGTAGCGAAATGCTCTGCCTCCATCTGTAAAACTAACTTTATAGTCAAATGTGTAAAAGTGAGCTTAAATACAAATAACAGCTGTGTAAATGCTTGCTTTAAGAAAATACAACAATTAAGAAATACAAACACAATCATATTCTGACAGCAGTAGATCCAGTATAATGTTAGTATCAGTGTTCCAGAGCTTCAGCACCACGGACAGCTCCACTCATCACTGCAGCGCATGGATCTATTATAATAACTGGATAGGATATTACTAGCTTGGAGCTGAAGGAACTATGTGCTCGGGGGATTCTCGCGGTCCTGCAGACTAAACCAGAGTAAATTCACGTGGGCTACCCAGAAATTGTCCCCATAGAACTCAATGTAAATTAAAACAGCTTGACCTCAGCTGACAGAGAACCTACAGCTTTCATAAAGGTCGGCTTTTGTGGGGATTTTAGTGTCCCTTGTCATCCTGAACTTTTTTTTCCTTTTTGCCTTCGGTTTTCTTTAAAATCCACACTTTAGTGCCACAAACTCTGCTAGTCTGGCTCCCGCTCTGACTCCGCTCTAGCTCACCTCTAATCAGCAGTTCTGATTGGTCAGAGCGCGGCCGAGATCCTCTGCGCACGAGCATGAGACCCACACACACGTATTTGGCGCAACGCATCATGGGAGCTCGTCCACTGCACAGAACCGGGAGGACAAGACCATGCCCAAATATAGCGAGTGATATGGCGAGTTCAGCTAATATGTCAGCGACCGTCCCACCACATGCGCCACTGAGCACAAACCATTTATTTGAATACGCCGCCATCTTGGATTGCCAGGGCTTGGTGCAGCACTGTCTTCTTCTTTTCATACCATATTAACTGAATGTGTTGTGGATCTTAGAAAGAGCAGAAAGTAAAAGCTTGTGTTTTCGTTCCAGCTCAGGGAAAATGACTGAATACTGCACCTGTTTACGACCAGAACAAACACACACACACACACACACAATACGGTCTCTACTTTACCTGAACAGATGAGCAGTGAATTGCAAAGCGCCCTGTGGAGGAATCCTGGGGAAATATATTTTACATTTATAAACGATGCCTGTCCTGTGCTACATACTCTCACGCTGCACTACTCAGCTAAACTACAGACCCCCTGAGAAGCAAGGACCTGCAGACACATGATTTTCAATGTTCAAAAAGGTCCACTTATTTCATATATTTGACTTACTCCCCAGTCAACATACTAATCTAAATCAAAGCTGTTGAATTAATTTTGTTTAGTTTGGGTTGAGTAAAAAAATCTAGGAACTGATCTGAGGCCGAGAGAACAGAAGGGATTTCCTTTTCTTAAAATATTTTTTTTTACATTAAAGGAGCTACAGTATACCCGTTTCTGCAAGGTTTGAATGTTTAGGAGAACCGCTAGTTCCTCGTCCAAATGTAGTCCGAGCGTAGATAGTCCGAGCATAGATAATCCGAGCATAGATAGTCCGAGCGTAGATAGCCCGAGCATAGATAGTCCGAGCATAGATAGTCCGAGCGTAGATAGCCCGAGCATAGATAGTCCGAGCATAGATAGTCCGAGCGTAGATAGCCCGAGCATAGATAGTCCGAGCATAGATAATCAGAGCATAGATAGTCCGAGCATAGATAGTCCGAGCATAGATAATCCGAGCATATAGTCCGAGCATAGATAATCAGAGCATAGATAATCCGAGCATAGATAGTCCGAGCATAGATAGTCCGAGCATAGATAGTCCGAGCATAGATAATCAGAGCATAGATAATCCGAGCATAGATAGTCCGAGCATAGATAGTCCGAGCATAGATAGTCCGAGCATAGATAGTCCGAGCATAGATAATCCGAGCATATAGTCCGAGCATAGATAATCAGAGCATAGATAATCCGAGCATATAGTCCGAGCATAGATAGTCCGAGCATAGATAGTCCGAGCATAGATAATCCGAGCATAGATAGTCCGAGCGTAGATAGTCCGAGCATAGATAGTCCGAGGCGGTCCCGCAGGTCTCTCCCATAGACAAGTCTCTCCAGAAGATACGATGTAAGCTAGCTATGTTCACTCTGGCTTGATTTCTTCTTTGATCATTTTTTGGCTTTAGTTCCCTCTTCTCTTCCTCACTGTTGCGTCGTTTGGGCTGTTTTGCTGTGTCTGCAGTTACAGCAAGAGAAGGTATATAGCCAATTCTGCTAACATGCTACTGTGTTTAGCAGCGCTGTAGAGGCTCCGAGTGATTGGAGCAGAGCGGGCGTCACGCTAAAGTCTCTACTCAGCACTTTTTACGGCCTGAATTCATACACAGCTGAATCCATGAGCTCAAGTTTTCCATTAAATTACGGATTATTGTATGTAGTAATAAGCATTTTTATGAACTCATTAAAAAAGAAAATCAGGTACTTCTTTAAGGCGGTGTTCAGACGTGACTTTAATATGACAAACTGTTGTTTTCGGGTTGATTTTGCTGAAAACAAAAAGTGTTTATTGTTTAGATTTAAAGTATAACACATTGTTTTATATTTAACCATTTAACTTGTGTTTGGGTTAAAATGTTAAAATACAGAAAATGGAGACAGTAGATTCAATATAAAATGCCTTGGATAAACATCAATGCTGCAAATGTATTAATGATCATTGAAAATCCGATAATTTTGCCCACAAGCCTGAGGTTGACAAGTCTGCTCGAAACCAATGATGTTTCAACAGAAGGTTCTCAAACAGGTTCTCAAACATTCACAACATTCAGGACACTCAGCTGCTCTCGCTCCCAAAGTGCCGTAAAGAAACTGAACTCTTCCTGATCCTTGTGAATAGCCTCCTCCTCTTTACCCTGCTCCTCTTCAGCCTCCTCCTTTTTACCCTCCTCCTCTTCAGCCTCCTCCTCTTTACCCTCCTCCTCTTCAGCCTCCTCCTCTTTACCCTCCTCCTCTTCAGCAACCTCCTCTTTACCCTCCTCCTTTTTACCCTCCTCCTCTTTACCCTCCTCCTTTTTACCCTCCTCCTCTTTACCCTCCTCCTCTTTACCCTCCTCCTCTTTACCCTCCTCCTTTTTACCCTCCTCCTCTTCAGCCTCCTCCTCTTTATCCTCCTCCTCTTTATCCTCCTCCTCTTTACCCTCCTCCTCTTCAGCCTCCTCCTCTTTATCCTCCTCCTCTTCAGCCTCCACCTCTTCAGCCTCCTCCTCTTTATCCTCCTCCTCTTCAGCCTCCACCTCTTCAGCCTCCTCCTCTTTACCCTCCTCCTCTTTATCCTCCTCCTCTTCAGCCTCCTCCTCTTCAGCCTCCTCCTCTTTAGCCTCCTCCTCTTCAGCCTCCTCCTCTTTACCCTCCTCCTCTTCAGCCTCCTCCTCTTTACCCTCCTCCTCTTTACCCTCCTCATTTTTACCCTCCTCCTCTTTACCCTCCTCCTTTTCAGCCTCCTCCTCTTTACCCTCCTCCTCTTCAGCCTCCTCCTCTTTACCCCCTCCTCTTTACCCTCCTCCTTTTTACCCTCCTCCTCTTGAGCATCCTCCTCTTTACCCTCCTCCTTTTTACCCTCCTCCTCTTCAGCCTCCTCCTCTTTACCCTCCTCCTCTTCAGCCTCCTCCTCTTTACCCTCCTCCTCTTTACCCTCCTCCTTTTTACCCTCCTCCTTTTCAGCCTCCTCCTTTTTACCCTCCTCCTCTTCAGCCTCCTGCTTTTTACCCTCCTCCTCTTCAGCCTCCTCCTCTTTACCCTCCTCCTCTTCAGCCTCCTCCTCTTTACCCTCCTCCTTTTTACCCTCCTCCTCTTCAGCATCCTCCTCTTTACCCTCCTCCTTTTTACCCTCCTCCTCTTCAGCCTCCTCCTCTTTACCCTCCTCCTCTTTACCCTCCTCCTTTTTACCCTCCTCCTTTTCAGCCTCCTCCTTTTTACCCTCCTCCTATTCAGCCTCCACCTCTTTACCCTCCTCCTCTTCAGCCTCCTCCTCTTTACCCTCCTCCTCTTTACCCTCCTCCTCTTCAGCCTCCTCCTTTTTACCCTCCTCCTCTTCAGCCTCCTCCTTTTTACCCTCCTCCTCTTCAGCCTCCTCCTCTTTACCCTCCTCCTCTTTACCCTCCTCCTCTTTACCCTCCTCCTTTTTACCCTCCTCCTCTTCAGCCTCCTCCTCTTTACCCTCCTCCTCTCCTGCCTCCTCCTCTTCAGCCTCCACCTCTTCAGCCTCCTCCTTTTTACCCTCCTCCTCTTTACCCTCCTCCTCTTCAGCCTCCTCCTCTTTACCCTCCTCCTCTTTACCCTCCTCCTCTTTACCCTCCTCCTTTTTACCCTCCTCCTCTTCAGCCTCCTCCTCTTTACCCTCCTCCTCTCCTGCCTCCTCCTCTTCAGCCTCCACCTCTTCAGCCTCCTCCTTTTTACCCTCCTCCTCTTCAGCATCCTCCTCTTTACCCTCCTCCTCTTTACCCTCCTCCTCTTCAGCCTCCTCCTTTTTACCCTCCTCCTCTTCAGCCTCCTCCTCTTTACCCTCCTCCTCTTTACCCTCCTCCTCTTCAGCCTCCTCCTTTTTACCCTCCTCCTCTTCAGCCTCCTCCTCTCCTGCCACCTCCTCTTCAGCCTCCTCCTCTCCTGCCACCTCCTCTTCAGCCTCCTCCTCTCCTAGCTCCTGCTCTCAGCCTGACAGACAGTGCTCAGGGAAAAGTGTGGTCTTCACATATGTCTGAGCTGAGACTGCAGTGGACCTCGCTCAGACACAGGAGCAGAGAGGTCAGAGGTCATGTCAGCAGGGTCCTCAGGGCCTCCTCACACCAGGACCATCTGAACATCTGTATCAGATATTGTTAAAGGATGTAGACAAATCCAGCTGGGACCATAATATCTGAATAAACAAGAGTTTTGTCAACAACAAATCTATAACCAACACTTTTTTATTCCTTGTTTTGTTCTTTAATGATTTGAGAGTCATAACAAGACCATTATTAGTTCTGAGGCCACATGTTACTATAGCAGTGAGATTTGCCGCAGTGAGTTCTGGCAACCAGGATCACAGACTTTCTGATTGGTGAAACGGTAGAGGGCGGGACATCGAAATGAAAACGGTTTATATGCATGTGTATATGTATCCGATTATTAACATTGTCCTTTACACTGTTTGACTGGTTTGACGCTAAACTGCTTTTTGTGGCATTGTTCTGACTTTGTAATTAAATAAAGGTGAATCTAATCTCATCGACTAAATCAGGGGAGTTCTCTCTTTTTCACTTTTCTGTCTGAAAACGTCGTCTTACCAAGTATACCTTCACGAGATACGTCCAAACTCAGGCCCGTGGGCCAAAAGCGGCCCTCTGTGTCATGTTATCTTGCCCTCTGCCTCGCTAACATAGACACCAGTTCACAGTGTCATACAGCCAACTTCAGCTCTACCAATATATGTATGTTATATATGTTTGGGCAGCTTGTTTTTTGTTTATACTCGTGACTTGTTTTTGATTGTGGCACAAAATTCAGTTGCTGATGTAGCAAATGTCAACCTTGTTAAAGCTGATTTTAAAACCGGGCATCAGCCCCTGGACCAGTCTGGGTTTAAGAGGAGCTCGAGACTGTGCATGGAGTTTATGGCTTATTATATTTTTGGGTGATTTGAAAATTAGGTTCCCCAGTATCAAAAGCTCATCTCAGACTTTGTTTCATGATCACAACACTTTGAGTCTTGTGTAAAAGCCACAGGTTTGGAATGTCTGCCCTTTTCTTTACAAAGAGAAAGAGAAAAGAGAGAAAAAAGAAACATAATAAACTCTAAACTCCACTTCAGAGACGACCTTCAAACTGCACTTCACTGACGACTTTTAACGAGAGAATTGTATTGTTCTCTTGTCAGACACAGATTAGACAAACCTGCAGGTGAGAGCCAGCCCCTGTCAGGCCTCTGAAGCTAAGCAGGACAGGACCTGGTTCGTACGGTGATGGGAGACCTCAGGGAACAGTAGGTGCCACAGTGGGGCGGCTGCAGCTGTAAAGTGCCAAACTGTTGTGTCCTTAGGCAAGACACTTCACCCACATTAGAATGAGCCTGGTGTGTGTGTGAATGGTTGGTGGTGGTGGGAGGGGCCAATGGGACATACTGGTTGCCAATGCATTATTATTATTACTAATAATATTAGATTAGCCCCGCCCATTCTCACCTCACTGAAGGGGGCAGTGGTACTCAAGGTGGCAGTCCCCTCTCTCTTTCTCCCTCTCTCTCCTTCCTTCTCTCCTTCTCACTCTCTACCTCTGTCCTGCCTTTCTCTCCATCCCTCTCTCTCTCCCTCCCTCCATCTCTCTCTCTCACCCTCTCTCCCTTCTTCTCGATGTCTCTCTCATTCTCCCTCTCTCTCTCCTTCCTTCCATTCCATCTCTCTTCCTCTGGTCTCTCTCTCCCTCTCTCTCTCTCACTGTCTCACTCTCTCTCCCTCTCCCCCTCCCTCCCTCTCCCCCCTCCCCCTCTCCCTCCTGCAGGTACCTGGTGTTCCTTATGGCCTTCAGAGCAAAGTAAAACCGATCCGTTTCCACACAGACTTTTATGAGTCCGTGGAAGAAAACAGTTCAATAAGAGACGGTCTGCGGCTCCGAGAACTCACATAACCAAGGTTTCCAGCTGCAGATATAATAACATACAAAAGAAATAGGGCCACGGCGCAAAGAGGCAAAACATATACAGTTGTGTGCTTCAGGGAGGATGGTTGCATAGACACAGAAACACACACAGACACATAAAAACTCACACAAAAACATACAAAAATCAAACAAACTCGCCGCTTTTGAATACAATTGTGAATCCTCAAACTGTGACGTTATTTCAGATGCTGGTATCTATCAACTCTGTGGGAAAGAAGCCTTTTTTGCAAATAAATTCCTGAAACCATAGTAAGTCATTTAAGTCTATTCTCTGAGCCACAGGTGCAGAGACCTGAGACCAGGACTAATGTGATGGTACTTCCTGGTTCTAGCCTCCTACAGCTCGTGTGGAGAGACCAGTGAGCTGCAGGTAAAGATACAAAGTTAGAAAACTTACTGGAGACAAATCAAATGGATAAGAATCTCCAAGTCAGCTTTAGACACCACATTTTCAAACCTGCCGATGTTTTTAGATGTGAAAAACCGACTGAAGTTACTGATTTGATTTTTGTTATTAAGATTGAAGTCCGTTGTACTACCCCTGGATTTCTGATCTGGCACAAAAACACATATTTACTTGACACGGTTAAAGAGGCCCAAACCGAGCAGAGGGGAACTCCGTGGAGAGAACTGCTGGCTCCAGATCATGTGAAACCTCTTTAATATTGTATCAGCTCTGCTTTCTCGTACACTGTGTCCCCCAGACTGTTCTCTCTCAGGCTCTCGGCTGCACTGAATTTGAGAGAATGGAAAAAAATCACTGAACGAGAGGCTTTTTTTGGACCAGAGGACGATGAGAAAAACGGCGAAATGAAAGCTCTTTGTGAAAACGCTCGATGATGTCAGCTGTCGAGTCAAACAGTTATGAATAAATGACTCGTGTAATCACAGAGAAGTCGCTTAATGAGATTTTAATATTGTAATTCATCATCAAAAACAGAATGAGATTTTTGAACCAATAATATCAGACACTGCATGGTCTCTGTGGTACTTCCTGATTCAGATTCAGCGATTGTGATTCAAGGCAAGAATATCCAGGGTTTGATTCCACCTTTAGGCCTTTCTGTGTGGAGTTTGCATGTTCTCCCCGTGTCTGTGTAGGTTTTCTCCAGGCGTTCCGGTGCATTGTAAACATGTACAATAGGTCTGGCATGTTTCTCCAGTATGACCACCTGTACCATGTCTGTGTGGAGTGAGAGGCACATTTCCGAGACGATCGTAGAGCGCTCTGTGATTCTGGTCTCTGAAAGGCGCTGTATAAATAAATATTACCTAAGTTTTGGAAGTAAGGCTTCTTATGAGGTTCAAACCAAGGTATTTGTCGTAGCTAGTTACTAAACTGGTAGAATTTGACAATATTAATTCATTGACTGTCAGCCATTTTTGATGATTTCACTGACTTTCAAGACCCACAGAATATTGTGTGCTGTGACTCTGAAAAATATGAAACCAGATTCAGAAAGATTGGACCGTCTACTTTCATCAGCAAAAATACGTTGGTGTCTAGCTAGTTTTGTTTAGCTGTAATCTTCAGTCGAATAGAGAGAAGTTTGACAGAAGTCTCAGCCAAATACATCCACAGCAGTCAATGAGTTAATCGTGGTCATTTCATTTTGGGACTATGGCACTTAAGATATGATAGACTTTATTGATGTCACACATGATTCAGTATGTCTACACTCAGATTGTGCAAAAGGACAGAAGTGTGCAGCCAATGGAAGGCTTTTCTCAGGAGCGAAAGGCAAACAATGGTAGCTTTGTGACTCTGGTCTGTGAAAGGCGCTACATGTTTAAATATGACTTACTTTTTTACTAATCAGGAAGAGCCAGGTCTACACTGCAAAAAGAGATGAAAAAAAAAGTCATAAAGGTTTCAAATTTGGTACAATGTGTCTTCATTTGAGAACATTATGACTGTGCCTTAAAACTAGATTCCCCAGTGGGACAACGCAAAATGATCTTGTTGTAAAAAGATACAGAAATGTCTCCCTTGGAATGAGAAAGTAAATAAAACTAAATGTCTTTGTCCCACTGGAGAATCTAGTTTAACACAGAATGTTTCAGATTAAGACAAAAAAACGCTTGATTCAAACAATTATTACCCGATATTATATCATTTTTTGCAGTGTATGTTTTTTAAACGACAACTATCACAGACCTCCTGCTGGGAGGCAAAAAGACAATTTTGTAAATACATTTGGACCATTATTCAGATTGTAAATGTTCAGCACGTGTTATATTTGTATTTTGTCCATGAGTCCAAACAGAGAAACTCAGACGCTGCTGTTGTTTGCATCAGTTCTTTCCTCGTCTGAAGCTCGCTTTGCACTTTTTTGGGTCTGTGTTTGTGGAAGTAGGTCATAGCAGTCGGATGCTGCTGGTGCTGTTGGTGCTGGTTCTGCTGGTGCTAGTGCTGTTGGTGCTGATGGTAAGTAAGTAATCTTTTATTTATATACCGTCTTTTCACTGCACATCGGAGTCTCAAAGAGGTTTACAATTGTGATTTTTTTTATGGGAGTGGGGGTGCCAGTACAGGAGGCACATGCCAAACCTATTGTACATATTTTTAGTGGTAGGGGAAACCAGAGCACCCGGAGGAAACCTACGCAGACACGGGGAGAACATGCAAACTCCATTCAGAAAGTCCCTGGTCCAACCGGGATTCGAACCCAGGACCTTGCTGAGAGGCGAGACTGCTATCCACTCAGCCACCGTGCCGCCCCTGGTGCTGCTGATGCTGATGCTGATGCTGGTGTTGGTGTTGGTGTTGGTGCTGGTGCTGGTGCTGGTGCTGGTGCTGGTGCTAATGCTAATGCTAATGCTAATGCTGTTGCTGGTGCTGTTGCTGGTGCTGCTGATGGTGCTGGTTGTCCTGGTGGTACTGGTGCCATAATCCTGGTCCGAAATGGCAGCCGGCTTTTCCCAAATCAAAGGGCGTGAGAGCGGAGGAGCTGAGCCGGTGAGTCGGTGGTACCAGCAGAGAGCGGATCACACACAGGTCTTTAAAACAGTCTCGATCCGAATCCTCGCTTTGATCTCACAGTCAGCGGGTCTTCACAACGGAACAATGCTCTTTCAGTTGGAGTGGAGGCAGCAATACAACACTGACACTGAAAAAGATCAAATATGATGTAATTATTGCTTGAATCAAGTTGTTTTTTTTTTTTATCTTAGTCTGAAAAATTTCTGTGATAAAACAGGATTCTCCAATGGGACAAAGACTTTTAGTTTCTCATTTCCAGGGAGACATTTCTTGTACTTTTTTCCGTAAAACTAGATAATTTTTCTTTGTGTCATTGGTAATTCTTTCTTCATCCCTTGTGCTATCCTTGGGTCAAATGAACCCACCGAAGTGATTAGAAAATTACCCAAAATACTTTTTTGAGCTGAATCTTGCCTTGACCAGCCCTGGCTCAACCCTAACCCTGTTTTCTTCTACTTTTAGTAATTATGAACTGTTCCCACGAAAGCTTTTTCAACATTTTACTTTTATAAGTCTGGATGGACGGAGATAGATCATTTAATTAAAAATAATTACATTAAAATAAACTACAGTATAAAAAGAGACAAAAAGTCACAAAGTTATGGAGATAAAAAAAGAGATAGAGAGAGAGAGGGGAAGACACACAGAAAGACACGGAGAGAAACACAGAGACACACACAGAGAGACACAGAGAGATAGAGAGAGACACATCAATCAATCAATCAATCAATCAATCAATCAATTGATTGATTGATTGATTGATTGAGACACATAAAGAGACACAGATAGAGAGAGAGAGAGAGACAGAGAGACACAGAGAGAGAGAGACACAGAGTGAGAGACAGAGATAGAGAGAGAGATAGAGAGACACAGAGAGAGAGACAGAGAGAGATAGAGAGACACAGAGAGAGAGACACAGAGAGAGAGACAGAGAGAGATAGAGAGACACAGAGAGAGAGACACAGAGAGAGAGACACAGATAGAGAGACACAGATAGAGAGACACAGAGAGAGACTAGAAAGAGAGAGAGACTTGAAATTCATTTATTTGCAAATGGCAAATAAATGAATCTGAATCTGAATCTGAAGAAGGAGACTACAGAGAGAGAACAGAGAAACACAGAGCGAGAGAGAGGCAGAGATAGACAGAGATAGACAGTGATCGATAGATACTAGAGATAGATTCTTTCTCTATATAATTCCATTCAATTTACATTCACTGTATTATTGTATCGCCCTAAATCACAACAACAGTAATTTTCTCTGAGGACTTTACAAAGCTGTCGATTCACCAACAACAGATCAGAGAATCAAACTGTTCACACACAAGAAACACACTGAGCCACTGATCCATCCGGGACCAACACCAATGTCCATAAATGTGGTTGAATGAAGTGTCTCGGCTCCTCACCTGTCCTGTCCTCAGACCCTCCTGCACCCCCAAGTTTATTAGAATCTGAAATAATGTGTAGGATGTGAGTAATAACTTTTGACGTGTACACAGCTCTGCGTTCCCACTTTCCCACATCCCTCCTTCCTGCAGACGACCTCCTGCTGAGACCTTCTCCTTCTACAAAGACACCTCTCGTCGTTTGGATCGACCCAAACCGACTGTGAGTGACGGCAGCACACCCGCCTTCGACTTCCTCTGGGCCCTGGCCTACATTATGTTTAACAGCCACGAGTAAACAGTCACTTCTGCTCCTCACGCCCCCCTACAGCGCTGGAGGACAAGTGCGCGCCGACTGGATTCATTAAAATAAAAACCGGTGTCGATGATAGTTTTATTTTGACTTTTATTTTTGAGAGCAGAGAGGAAGAAGAAGAAAAACTGATTAGTCAAGTGATTCAGTTCTGACGGGTGATTTTTATGGTGGAGTCTCTCTGGCCTCTCTCTGGTCTCTCTCTGGTCTCTCTCTGGTCTCTCTCTGGTCTCTCTTTGGTCTCTCTCTGGTCTCTCTCTGGTCTCTCTCTGGTCTCTCTTTGGTCTCTCTTTCTGGACTTTCTCTCACCAGTATCTCTCTCTGACCTTTCTCTCTGCTCTCTCTCTGGTCTTTCTCTGGTCTCTCTTTCTGGTCTTTCTCTCTGGTCTCTCTCTGGCCTCTCTCTCTGGTGTCTCTCTGGCCGCTCTCTCTCTCTGGCCTTTCGCTTACCTCTCTCTGGTCTCTTTCTGGCCTCTCTCCAGTCTCTCTCTGGTCTCTCTCTGATCTCTCTCTGGTCTCCTTCTGGTCTTTCTCTCTGGTCTCTCTCTGGTCTCCTTCTGGTCTTTCTCTCTGGGCTCTCTCTGGTCTCTGGTCTCTCCCTGCTCTCTCTGGTCTCTCTCTGGGCTCTCTCTGGTCTCTGGTCTCTCCCTGCTCTCTTTGGCCTCTCTCTGGCCTCTCTCTGGGTCCCTCTATAATCTCTCTCTGGTCTCTCTCTGATCTCTCTCTTTCTCTTACTGACAGTGTGTGATGATGAAGAGTGTGTTGTCCTCGTTGGGAAATATAGATTAGCTGTTTGTGGAAACTGGAGTACAGATGGATTTAGAGAATATGGTTGGAGCTAAATAAAAACCTAGAAATTCCTGCTTTGAGTGATCCGTGACTCAGTGGTACAGATGGAGTTCAGTTGTTTACTGCTGTTTACTGTTTACTGTATGAAGACTTATGCACGATACATGGTGCATTAGTCTTCATACTATGGTCTTTCAAAAAGGATTTGCTTGTGGTTAAAACAAAACGAAATGTGGTTTTGCAATGACTGTTTGTAATTACTAAATTAGAAAAGTATTGATTCTCTGAGATAGATAGATAGATCAGAGAGAGAGAGAGAAAGAGAGACCAGAGAGCGACCAAAGAAAAGAGACCACAGAACATAGAGCGAGACCAGAGAGAGAGAAACACCAGAGCATGGAGAGAGAGACTAGAGAGACCAGAGAAAGAGCAAGCAGAAAGAGAGAGAAACCCGAGAAAGAGAGACCAGGGGAGCAGAGAGAGAGCGACAAGAGAGAGAGACCAGGGAACAAGAAACCATAGAGAGGGAGACCAGAAAAAGAGAGACCAGATATATATTGCATTTAAAAGCTGCACTTTTTGGGTTTTTCAAACAAAAGCCTGAAGCTGCAGAGAGACAAGCAGCAAATTTAGACTTTCAGCTTCACCTTTAAACCCTTTTGGGGGAGGAGTCAGAGATAAGGTTATGTTGATTATCTTAATTAAGACGAGCAGAAGAAGTTTTTTATCCTACTTTGAACTACTTCTGAATTGGAGGGTTAAAAGTTTTCCAAGAGGGCTTCTCCACCTCTGCTGCCTGAAGACTTTAATAATAACGAATGATGTATTGATTTGTTTGTATGGCTGGATTTGTTTTTTATCTACCTAGCTACCTAACCACCCACCCACTCACCTAACCAACCACCCAACCACCTAACCACCCACCCACCCACCTAACCAACCACCCACTCACCTAACCAACCACCCAACCACCTAACCAACCCTCACCCACCTAACCAACCACCCAACCACCTAACCACCTTACCAACCAACCAACCACCCACCCACCTAACCAACCACCCAACCACCTAACCAACCCTCACCCACCTAACCAACCACCCAACCACCTAACCACCTTACCAACCAACCAACCACCCACCCACCTAACCAACCACCCACCCACCTAACCACCCACCCACCCACCTAACCAACCACCCACTCACCTAACCAACCACCCAACCACCTAACCACCTTACCAACCAACCAACCACCCACCCACCTAACCACCCACCCACCCACCTAACCAACCACCCACTCACCTAACCAACCACCCACTCACCTAACCAACCACCCACTCACCTAACCAACCCTCACCCACCTAACCAACCACCTAACCACCCACCCACCCACCTAACCAACCACCCAACCACCTAACCACCTTACCAACCAACCAACCACCCACCCACCTAACCAACCACCCACTCACCTAACCAACCCCCCACCCACCTAAGCACCCACCCACCCACCTAAACAACCACCCACTCACCTAACCAACCACCCACTCACCTAACCAACCCCCCACCCACCTAAGCACCCACCCACCCACCTAAACAACCACCCACCCACCTAACCAACCCCCCACCCACCTAACCAACCACCCACTTAACCAACCAACCAACCATCCATCTAAACATTCTTCAACTTCAAAGTCTTATTCCCACGGATGAAACATAGATTTTGACATTTTAACCACATCCAAACGGCCTCATTAAATCCTCGTTACTCACAGAAACTTTGCCGGTGCTGTTTCCATGGTGACCTGCTACTTCCTGCTCCTGTGGTATAGTTTCTCACGGCTCAGTCCTGGGCTCTGTGCTGGGTGTCGGATCAGTGTGACACCAGCAGCGACCGGAGAGAATTCTGACAAAATGTGTGGCTGTGGAGCGGCGCAAATAAATGTAGAAATAAGCGTCAGGGTTGCGCAATACGTGACAAGAAGTCCCAGCATGCATTTCACCTCACAATCCGTGCACACAGCAGCCCACACTGTCATTGTAAACTACATTCTCTGCTATGAAATGACAAGTTGCATAAAGTCTGTTTACTAGGGCTGGGAATGGGCGAAAATATGAGAATTAGATAGTTTTGCGATATTTAGGGCCATGATTCAATATTATTGCGCTTCTTAAGATATCGCGATACAGACACTTTTGTGATTCTGTGATATATTGTGAGTCATTTCTTTACAAACATGGAGGAAAACCAAACTCTTGTCTCTGTGACATTTTTATGGTCCGTACATGAACTGCAGCAAACACTGAGGCGGGAAGTGCAAAAACGTTATCCTCTCTCTCTGGTCTCTCTCTGGTCTCTCTCTGGTCTCTCTCTGGTCTTTCTCTGGTCTCTCTCTGGTCTCTCTCTGGTCTCTCTCTGATCTTTCTCTGGTCTCTCTCTGGTCTCTCTCTGGTCTCTCTCTGGTCTCTCTCTGGTCTCTCTCTGGTCTCTCTCTGGTCTCTCTCTGGTCTCTCTCTGGTCTCTCTCTGGTCTCTCTCTGGTCTTTCTCTGGTCTCTCTCTGGTCTCTCTCTGGTCTCTCTCTGGTCTCTCTCTGATCTTTCTCTGGTCTCTCTCTGGTCTCTCTCTGGTCTCTCTCTGGTCTCTCTCTGGTCTCTCTCTGGTCTCTCTCTGGTCTCTCTTTGGTCTCTCTCTGGTCTCTCTCTGGTCTCTCTCTGGTCTCTCTCTGATCTTTCTCTGGTCTCTCTCTGGTCTCTCTCTGGTCTCTCTCTGGTCTCTCTCTGGTCTCTCTCTGGTCTCTCTCTGGTCTCTCTCTGGTCTCTCTCTGGTCTCTCTCTGATCTCTCTCTGGTCTCTCTCTGGTCTCTCTCTGGTCTCTCTATGGTCTCTCTCTGGTCTCTCTCTCTGGTCTCTCTCTGGTCTCTCTCTGGTCTCTCTCTGGTCTCTCTATGGTCTCTCTCTGGTTTCTCTCTCTGGTCTCTCTCTGGTCTCTCTCTGGTGTCTCTCTGGTCTCTATCTGGTCTCTCTCTGGTCTCTCTCTGGTCTCTCTCTGGTCTCTCTCTGGCCTCTCTCTGGTCTCTCTCTCTGGTCTTTCTCTCTGGTCTCTTTCTCTAGACTTTCTCTCTGGTCTCTTGTGAAAGAAACAGCTCGGCTAGAATATAAAACATGAATTTCAAATCTACATAAAGCAGCTCTTTCAAAGGTTGAATGTAAATATTCCATACTATACACTCTTCAATACTCTCTCTCTATTCTCGCTCTCTCTCTTTCTCTCTGGTCTCCTTCTGGTCTTTCTCTGGTCATTCTCTAATGCAGGGTTTTATGACATAAATACATGGTTTCTCCGTGGTATCTCTCTCTGGTCTCTTTGGTTTTCTTTGGTCTCTCTCTGACCTCTCTCTCTTGTCGGCCTCTCTCCCTGGTCTCGCTCTGTTCTCTCTCGCTCTGTTCTCTCTCTCTAGTCTCTTGTGATATAAAACGGTTATGTAAAAATACTAGTACCTAAGCACACAGTAAACGCCTGCAGGGAAACAGAACATTAACAATTGCATTAATGATTCTCTCCAGAACATTCCAGCATCAGTCACACTGGGATCTGTCTGTTGTTTACGACGGGAGATCATTTTCAGTTATTTAGCAAAGAAATAATGTTATGAGTAAAATACAGCTGAGGGAGAACTGCATATTTCATGGTTCTGTCAAAGACCTCATGGTTTATTGAAGAGCTACGATACGAGCAGCGGGTCTGAGGAGAAGGTTCACTGAAGGAGATGGAATTATCTAAGTGTTCTTTAATAAACACATCTGAGGACGGAGCGGGTTTAAGGTCTGGGACTGTTCTGCAGTTAAGGCTGTTTCCATCGGCTAGCTTTAGCCGCTACTCTGCACATTTTCAGTAACGCTTGGCCCTGGTTCTAACCGTGTAACTTTAAATACAGAAGAAAAAAAAAACAGTTTATTGCAAGGCTAATGCTAACTGGTAGCTAATGCTAACTGGTAGCCAGTTAATACAAAATAATGATGTAGAAATAAACTACGAATATAAACTTAAAGTCAGAATCATGACACTTCCAAAGCCAACGATATTTCAAACATGGCTCCAACATCCAAAACTGTATCTGTGCATCTCTCCATCCATCCATTTTCTTCCCCTTAATCCATTTCTGGGTCGGGGGGGTTGCAGTCAGAGCTGCACCCAGTTCACA